CCAGGAAGCAAAAAGGGACCTAAGACTTTTTATTTAAAGGGAAATCTCCATTTCCAACAAAGACTGGTGGTTTCCTTTCGGTACACCATCTAAAGGAGAATCAAGCAATGGGAACCCAGTTTGATGGACCATTACTAGATGTGGGTCCCCCCAACTAGATGCCTTTCTTTTTTCCGGATTGTGTATTGCAGGGAACCGAGTCGTTAGATGTGCACAAATTGAAACAAGCTCATCTTGGGGCACGAGCGCAAACCCCATCAAAGGTCAGGTACTGGGGGCAGTCGATATATTTCCAGAGCTGAAAGAAGCTGGGTCTCTGCTCTCTGAAGCCTCCGTGGTTTTCTGTCCGCTCCGGGTTTCAGAGGCTTCCGGGGAAAAGCTGGCGGAAGGCTCACATGAGAGGTGGGCTTGACACCGGTCAGGAATCTCGCATTAGCTCCTCTTTTTTTTTTTAAAAAAAAAGAAGTATATATATATATATATATATAATAATAATATACACTTTCACAGCAGAAGCCGATGTGGTGTGCCGTGAATATGCTTTGCCATGGAGTGGAAATTGAGCGTTATATATATATATATATGTGTGTGTGTGTCTTTGCGTCTGGGAGCTGAGCGCCATTGTGCGCGATTATAGCTGTTTTTGCATGTGCTGTTTCCTGAGCAATAGAACCCTTTTTTGACAACTCTGTGACACTTTACTGACCTAGCGCTAGATTTCAACCGCTATTGACTTTCATCTTGCTTCTCTGGTTTACTTTGCGCTTGACTTCTCTCACTTTGGCATGAAGTGGTATGAGCACGCATCACGAGCGCTTGCGTGTCTGGCTCCCGCTGTCTGCTTTTCTTGGTCAGTGCGCAATAGTGCTTGCGTGGACAAGCGATGTACTTATTTGACCAGTAGCTCACAAACAAAAACATGGACTAAACATGGCGCAGCTCCACACCTTCAAATGGCTTTGCGCCAGTTCCCCCCCGTCGACTTCGGGTTCAGCCAAGCTGGTTCTCGATTTTTTTTCGTGGGATCTAACACGGACAACGACGTCGGCATGATAGCACCAGTCTTTCTTGGCCGGAAAGCCTGGCAAAGCGAAGCCTCGCGCTTCCAGCACCCAGGTGGCTCCCACCCAACCTGAGCCTTGAGAGCTATCGCGTCGCCGCACGGGAAGGCAGGTACATGGCGTGTCAAAAATTCGGAGCCTTGAAACAGAGGTGTCCTTTTTTCCCCGTTCATTTGCTGAAGTTAGCATTTTATGTTTTCCCTTGTTGGTTTTACAGGGAATCCATCACTGAGTACTGGAAATAAGTCTATCTTGAACCAGGGGGCTAAAGCAATCGGACGTTTTGTTTGATTCCTCTTAAGCCGATCTCAAAAAGGGTATTCCACCGAGCTGGATGTAAGGCGCTCCCATGATGAAGGTCACTTACCCAATCCAGGCAGTTTTTCTGTCAGGTGTTGAATCTGTAAAGGCAAATGTCGAAATTCTTTGTTCACAAGGGGCAAGAAACAGGCAGGGCCCCAGGAGTAGTAAAAGGGGATTAGATGAGAAGGATATGCAGAACAACTTGCCACAGACAATTCAATGGTTATTAAAATCGCTACGCGATCGCCACGCCATCTGCGACAACTGCCGCGACTCCCTCCCATATGCGGAGAATGAGATTGCATACCTTGACTTCGTACTGGGGATGGCGGGGGTGCAAGGAATGCTGGGAATGCAGGAAATGCTAACGATGCAGAGTGAAAAAACCTCGATTTTCCCCAAAATCAGGCATCAACAAAGGACGACAGCTACCCCTTCAAATACCCAAAATATAGACTTGTAAAGAACAAACACTACTGCTGGGGATGTTTCGCAGCAGCGCCCATGTACCAATGGATTTCGCAATGTTTGCAGTTCTTTCCTGAAAAGGGTGGCTTTCCCCTGAGTGGGTCACAAGGCAAGCCTGCCGTTACCTTGTTCTTGGGACGCAAGCGCCCCTTTTGTGGCACCCCTTTCACATTGGCCAGGCATCGAGAACTTTACGGAGATGGACCTCTCTATTGCGCAGCGGGCCCTGCGCGGTTTCTTTGGGCGACCTGGAAACGTTCCATATACCAAACTCGGCTACTGTTGGGAAACATTTGATATTGTTGCTTGTTGTGGTTTAGTGAGAAATCCCCACTAGTCACTTAACTACTAAACAATATTTTGTTTCTCCCCTTTCAACGTCAACCAAGGAAAGGGCGGATCCGAAGTGCCCTTTTTGCACTTCGTCATTCTTTCAGCAACGGCTTTTCCATTGAACCGAAGAGCAGCCCAGCTTCCAAAAATGAATCCACAGGTGCACCAAAAACAAGGCCCAAGCATTCACTCAGATTCACAACATCGGATTCGAATCCCTCTTGGATTAGACAAGTCTTCATATGGGTATGGGTCAAAGCTAAAGAACGCAGGCTTTAGTCCATGTTTTCCATTTACCAGGGGCTTGCCATTTAGGGCCTTTACTTTAGGGCCCACAGCCATATATACCCTCAAAACGCGGGTCCCGCTTGGCTGCTCTGTGACCTTTGATCTAACCGGCCACAAGGCAACATGCCCAGAGTCCCGTTTCAGCATGAAGCTGGTGCCTGAATGTCGCTGGGAGGGTAAGCTTTGGGACAAAAATAGTACTTCGCTGTCCCGAAACAGCTGGACAAGAACTTTCGCGGCCGCAATGCATCTCCATTTGGGTGTGGCTGTTTGAGGCTCGGTATGCTTTCTAATGGTCGTTTCAAGGGCATCCAAAAGGAATCGTTTGAGACAATCCTATGTATCTGTAAAATAAGGGAATGTTGACTGCACAGAAAACGCACACATGCAAACACACCGGTGTCAAAGAAAAGGCATGTGGGCGTGCCAGGATTGAAGCAAAGATGGTCCTGGTCTGGTAGGGATTTCGCTCTTGTCCGTTTCATTCGGTGCAAATAGGCCAACAGGCACACACACACACACACAGGCACACACACAGGCAGCCACACACACACACACAACCACCCACACACACACACACACAACCACCCCGCACTCACTCACGCATGCAGGCACGCTTGCACGCACGCACGCACTGACTCAGTCAGTGACTCACTGACTCACTGACTCACTGACTCACTGACTCACTCACCGACTCACCTAAACCACCAAACCACCGGGCTCCAAACCATTGAGTGGAGAGTTTTAACCTTTTCGCAGCCCTTAAGTCGACTCCAAACAGACCGATTGGCGCGCAACGCCAGGCCTTACCATGTCCTTCGGGGCCTGAAGAGCGTGGGGCTCAAACCAGCGCTTTTCGGGTAGGCAATCCGCAAGACCCTCACGGTTAGGGTTCAGGGTCCGGTGCTTCGCGGGGTTGGGTCTCTAACTGCGCTTTTTAATCAAAAACCCTCACCTTGGGTTATGAAAGGGTCCGGTGGCCTTTGTAATGGCTTGTCAATAGGGATGGATTGGCATTGGCCAACACTCCGTTTTGAACAGCCCAGTTTAATGGGACACACAACCGAGCCGCTGCGGGCATGCACCCCAGGTTCCCTTCGGCAAGTTAGCGGTTTGGAGGTAGCGGACACCTGCCTTAGTTTCAAAGGAGCGCGGCGGAAGCCTCGTTGGGCTGAACTTGGTTTCACCGGGATTGAAGCAAGGCCTATTCAACACTTTAGTGACATGTCGGACAGCTTCTTCAAAGGTTGGTCCCTTCAGTATGAGGTTCACAAGGCAGGGGGTTGTATGACAGGTGAGTCCCGAGTCTTCATAGAGTCATCATGGTCATACCTCAACCGTATGAACTGGCACGTGACGAGTATCTATGTTTGGTCTGGTTTCCGTCAGGCGTTCGCGCTTGAGAAAAATGAGCTCATCCTTGAAAGGTTTGTAATGAGCTTATGATATGAAGGTTCTTGACTTTGGGATTCCTATTTCTTGTTTCAGGTTGGTGACTTGTAGGAACCAGCACAGAAGCTTCCAATGATCGGGAAATGTGTGTGTGTGTGTGTGTGTGTGTGTGTGTGTGTGTGTGTGTGTATGTGTGTGTGTGTGTGTGTGCGTGTTTGAAGGCACCATGTTTCTATTGTTGGTTCAAAAGCAATCAGCTGGCATTTTGGGTAAATCTAAATATGAGATCTGAAGGACACCTTCGCCCATTCAGTCTGATCGACGCATCGATCCGTGCAGATCCTTGGCAGCTTTCGATCCGGCTTTGTGTAAGGCTTCAAGCGCTTGCGGACGCGCGGACGACATGATGAAACAGCTGGATCAGTCACCATGTCGGACAATTCCACTGGTTCATGTTGGCCAAGCATACCAATTGTTTGCATGTCTAACATTGGGGATCTCCCGAAAATGGGGTGGGGGGGCGTCTTTGATTCGCCTTCCCTTTAAAACAACAACCCTGCAATGGCCAACGAGCCTCAAGCAAAACCCAAATCCATCCCGCCTGTGCTTGTCATTGAGCCAGGCTTCAGCTGGTTTTCCAGGGTGTTAATCGCCTAACTGAAGCCCACCCAATCCAGAAGGACCTCAGATTTCAGCTGGTGATAAAACCAAATAGTTTGGTTGGTTACTGGATTTGGTTTGGTCTCTCTTGGACCTTTTTACATGTTTCTTGTTTGGTGTTTTGCAGAGTCTCAACATGTGAGGGAAGCATTGAGCACATAGTGCTGACCCTTTCAACTGCCCAAAGCCCAGTTTTCGCTGAAAGTGTCCCTTGGTCTTCAAGAGTCAGATAACGCTTTGCTGGTTTGCGTTGGCGGGTAATCTGGAGATTTGACCGCATGGCTAAATTGGACCTCCCAAACCTATCCAAACCACCACCTAGAAGTCTCCACCAATCCAAACCACAAACATGGGAAGTTGAATGCTTGTTTCTTGTGATACCATGTACCCTCCCTCCAACTAACATGGCAACTTGCAGGGGCTCCCTTCAAAAGGACATGAATCTTCCAGGTACCCTCAGGTGCCATGTAGTTAGGAGCCTGAAGGTTTGTTTCTTGTGATACCATGTAGTTCCTGATTTTGGAAGGCAAGCCCCAGCCAAGCCCCACGTGCCATGACATCCCTGGCCTCCGCCTTCCGCGCCGCCGGTCTTCGGCGGCCGCCTGGGCGGCCGCGGCCGCGGCCGCAATCCGCCCGCGGCCTGGGAACGAGCGGAGGCCACGGCTGTGAGGCGCGGCGGGAGGTCTTCGCCGGAATGCCAGGTGGGAATGGTCAAATTTCAAGCAGTTAGTACTTGCTTCCATTTCCTAAGGTAAACCAAAATGGATACCCATTTTTACCCACCATTCCTGCAGGGTGGTTTGGGATGCTTTGGGTGAAAAAAGCGCGTGGGTTGTTGGAAAGAGGGCCCTTTGCCAGGGTTCTCCTTTGAGTCGCCAGTGAGTTTGCATTTTTTCCAACTTTATTTGGAGTGTTTCCCTTTGAGATCAACCAACAAACCTGTGCCTCGTTTTCCCCATGAGTTGACATGGGACCTCGAAAGGGGCTTTGTTTTTCCACTGTTTTGCTACTTGCCATGCTTCGGAAAATATCCATCACCTGTTTCCTGAAAGCGTACATGGAGGTGATGGAGGACAAGCTGCGCATTCTCGCGTCCCACTTACCTCATCGAGCACCTGGGGCACCCTCGTCGTTTCTGACAACACCCTTTCTGGGGATACGCAGATTGATGGCACTCATGCAAGAGAAAACCCTCTCAAAATGTGTTTTTTCGGGCTTCGCTTCAAGATAATCTGGGAAGCATCACTGAGCTAGACAGTATGAAGGACAGAAAAGGCAACAACAGGCCTTGACTTAAGTTGCTGTGGCATAAGCTTTTGGACCATGAATCGACCAGTCTGCAGCTGAAACTGCTTTGGTTACGGGAAGTTTGCCTAAGCTCTTCATCCGGTTTGCTTTGGACGGCACGACAAGATTCCGACTACTGTTGGAGAGCTTCATGAAGCGCATAGCAAGGGTTCTGTCATTTTTGCTCTCAACGCGGACGTGGCAAAATGCGAATCGGCCTTTCGGCAGTTTTTTGCACCAGTTGCTTCAGATCCGACTAGAAGGGGATCCGGGATCCTCTTCTTTTTGTTGGGTCGCTTTTGGAAGTCGGTGGCTCTTCAGTGAGCTCCCAAACTAGGTGAAGACAGGACTCAACCGGCAGATGCGGGACCTTTCTTTGTACCAATCGCAATATGAATATGAGTTTGTATCTACGTGGCCTGAACTCAGCTCCAAAAAGTGTATCAAACAAAGAGAGTTATATGGAGCCCAGAATCGCTCGTTTTACCCCAAGGCTTCTTGCCTGACATAGATGCAGATTGCATACTGCATAAACTTTGTGCGTTTGGTTGATCCATCTTCACGCAGGGGCTGGCGCGGGCGGTGCTGGACGGGGACGGCGCGCGCTTCGAAACGGAGGACAGAGCGCTTTTGTTGTGTTGTTTGTTTTTGTCGGAGTCCCAGCTCTAGAAAACGTTTTTTTTCTTTTTCTCCCCGCTTTTAATGTGGATTTCGCCTAGTTGTTGTCCGTTTTCTCGGTGGCCGGAATCGCTGTTGGGTAGCAACCCAGGGTTATTTGTTTGAAAGTCATGTGTTTCGTTTTCCCAGGCTGATTGGTATGAGTGTCCCTGTCCCGTTGCGCAACAACCTTCTACTAGTTGGATTTTATTGGGAACCAACCCCGGAGAAATCAACCGGTTGATGAAAGGGGCGGTGCTTTCATTTAGTAATCCACTTTTTGTGGGGGGGCTTGGTGGTCACCAAGGGGAACAAGCATGGGCGAAGTATTTTGTTCCCGCGCAGTGGGCAAAGAGGTGCAACTTTTTTCCCCAACTTGGGTCTCTGCCCAGATCCGGAGCGGTTGGGAGTGGCTTATGGGCCAGGGTTGTGAGGGCGTTGTTGGGGATATCACCTAGGCTTACTGGTTTGCTGGTCGCGGGGGCAGTAGAGATTTCAGAGGTAACATCAGGTCAAAGGTTTCAAAGGTTACTCTGCACAGCAACCACGGCCGAAAGATGAAACCCCTTGAAAGTGATGGTTGGTGGGCATGAATATGGGGCCTCAGCTTTCCCAAGCCCTTTAGGATTCTAGGTCCCCCAGCTAGGTGCCCTTTCTCTCCCCTTTTTTGGTTGGGAGGGTTCCCCTACTAAAATAGACTACAGACAAAAGTTGGTACCAACTTATTCTAAGCTCTCTACTGGAGGACCTAGTATGCCTCGCTGCAAAAAAAGCCATGGTCTCAACTGAGGGATTTTTTTATCCGTCCACATCCTTAGCATAGTTCATATAGAGGAGAACTGTGCAGAGTTTGAGGACTTGGGTATGGGTCAAAAAAAGCAGGGGACCGCAGGTTTTGGTCCATGTTTCCATTTACCTGGGTTCCATTTCGGGTACCTAATTTTGACCCACAGCCACTTGATGTTTTTTTCGGGAAGGCCGTTCTCGGTGGCACACGACTGGCGCCCCCGTCCGCCCGTCAGGCCGCCAGGCTCCGCGCACTGTGCCGCGCCAACCTTTCGATCGGCGCGGTGCCGCGTTCGCGGCCGGAGGTGCTTCTGGGGGAGGCGCGAGATTGGAACCGGGCGAGTGGTTTCTTGGTGGCCCCAGTCATCCCCTTCGGTTTTTAGCCATTTTGTGTTTAGTGGTAGTTTCCATTTCACCCACTACAAGCTAAAACTTTTCGCGGGGGAGTAGAAAACGGGCAGCCCAGGTTTGGGGTGTGAGCAAGGGAAGCCATGGCAACCAGCTGGGGGGGAAGGTAGATGGCGCACTTCCAACCTGTCGTTTAGTCTGGACGTTCCCCGCCGTTTCGCGGCAGTCGTTCGAAGCATTCTTGGCCGCTTCAGGCGGATCGTTTGCGGCAAGGCCCAAGAGCTTCTCTTTCTTGGAGGGCAAATTTCTTGTTTGTTGGCTTGTTCGAACTCACCCAGACATGAGGCAGGACATCGGTTGTTCAAACGATTTCAACCACAAACCTGGCTGATCAAGTTGGACACTTATGGGTTGAAGTCAGAGGTTCCCTTTCTCGTTAGAAAACGATCAGGATTTAGCTGTTAGACGGTTGCATTCACGGGTTATTTGCTTTGCAGTCGATGAATGCGAGGACAGGATTCTACCGCCAGGACAAGGAAAAAGACACTCCATTCCTTCATTCTGTCTCATCTGGAATTACTTCGTCAGAATGGGAATGTCTTGGGATTTGGAATCTTCATTATCCTAAAGTTATGTTGCTTTGCTGTAAAAACTCAGGAGATAATATCTTTCTCTTTTTATATCTTCTCCAAAATGAACCTGTGAATCAAGGGGAAGTGCTTTCCCATCTGTCTTCACGGAAATCCCTTGAGACAAAGGAATGATGGTAAATAGAAAGAAGTGTATGCTCTCTCTTCTCGTTCATTTGGGTTTTATTATTGGCACCAAATGGTTTAACGAGAAGGTGTATGAACGAAAAAGAAAGGAAAGAGCCCGCTCATCTCTTCGCTCGTTTCCTCGTTCACAAGGTGGGTCAAAAGCTTAGGAACTAATGTAACTGTTAGATGACTTCCGTGCCCGGCATAGCCTGGAGACAGGTACGGCGGTGGAATTAATGTCATCTATTTCTTCTTTCCGTCTCTTTACTCTTCATTATCTGGTTCTAGATTGTATATTTTGGATGAATTTCTGGATTACAAGTTACCGAGCGGGATAAGGAAAGACTCCCAAAAGAAGAACATCTGGAAAGAACTTTTGGATCTCTTTGCTGCCAGCTTCTTCCAGTTCCTCCAATTATAAGAATTACCAATATTCAAAAGTAGAAGATAGAAGTAAACCAGAAATTCCCTCCACGCGCTTCTCTCGTTCATATGTTAGGATTACTCCTCGCTTCGCTGTGGGGAAAAGTTTCCAAGAAGAAGAGATAGAGAGGCTATGTGTCTATTCCTTTTGTAGTAACTGTAATTACTTGTCTTTTTCAGTTCGGCCAGGCTAGTAATTTTTCAGGAACCTAGAGCGACCCCCCCCCCCCAGAAAAATCGTCATTTTAGTTCTTGGTTTTCCTTTAAAGCTACCCCAAAAAGGGTGCCCTCAAAATTCACACCGCAATGATTTCCGCCAAACGAGCCCCTAAATTCACATGACTATTTTTTGCTAATACAAGGAGACCCACCAGGAAAGCCAAGGCCGTTGTTTTTTTGAAAAGACATCTCCAAGTGACAGGGGTCCCTTTTTGGTGGATTTTTAAACCTCACCCTTTTGGCCCATGAAAGGTGAGTGTCCCTTGCATAGGTGTCCTTTTTGGTTGTTTTGGCCGAAAAATCGATGGCGATTCCTGGTCTACCTGGTGGTTTACTCATCTACCATCATCTACCACTCCATGTGCCCTAAAAGGACACCCATGGTCCCTTGGGGGTGATGCTTTGAGGGGAGATCTCGGGAGTGCTGCGTGAGTCATCCGGCGCGAGGCCGCGCTCGCGGGGGACGCGGCGGCCTTTGCGGACGCGGAGGCGCAGCTGAGGCGGATGCAGGACCCGGGTGGCGTTCGCTCTATGTGGCTGTGGCTCCAACAGCTGGGGTTACGCAGCTTTTTGTTTCCAGTTTCCAGGTACGAAGATACTAGGGGACACTTCCCCTTTCTTTCCTATGTTCTAGGGGTAAACAAGCCCTGTTTCTTAAACCCCAACCACACATGAAGAAAACACAAGTTTGGGTGCTTCCCCGAATCATTCCAACCTTCGTTCTTCAAACACTTCCCTCTTCCTGAGGTTTCTAACAGCTGGGGTTACGCAGTTTTTAGTTTTAGTCTCCATGTACCAAGATGCCATTTTGGGTGCCACGTTTTGAGCCACAGCCACGTGGGGGTGTCTTCTTTTGTAGGGGACCCCTCCGTGGCGGTTCTCCCTGTTGGCTTCGCTTTAAAGACCAACAAGGGGTTCCCTGGAGAAAAGACAGACCATGTGGTTTTGCTGAGGATACCCGTTGTTTTGCGGTTTTTACAAGGGACGCCAAACGAAAAGCCAAGAAGTTTGGGAGGCCCCTGAAAACAGACACCCGTATATGGGTTTGCTTGTTTTTCACTGGTACCCGTTATTTCTTTTTTTGTTGAAGGGACACCAAAGGGAAAGCCGCCATCTGGGGAGGCCCTAAAAAGGCACGCCCGTATTTTTTTCCTTCCGGGTATACACCCTTTTGTTTCTTGTCACAAGGACACCAACAGGAACATCGCCGATGCGGCAAGCCATGCCGCAAGTTGGACCTCCAACCGGGGACCTGGCTCAATGGCACATCCTGTCACCACAAAGTTGGCCAGCGCGTGATATGGCAACGTTTTTTTTTTCTTCTTTTTTTTTTTGTTTATTATTATTATTATTATAATAATAAAAACAAAAAAAACACCTCCAAAGTGGTTGGTGGACACAAATCCCAACCTAAATGGTGTCCACAGGGTCCCTTATTAAAATTAACACCCATTGTAAATCAGTTCGAAGCAAAGACTTTGATATGGCGCTGTGGGCGTGTACATCTCGGTCTGAGATTGAAGCACTGGCGACGCTGTTCTATTCATGCGCCACATCAGCGGAAGGACACCGAACGCTTTGATAAAGGTGACAGATAAGATCTCACTGGTTGCGTCTGACCCGTACATTGAACTTGCTTCATTTCCAAACAGGGTCAGAGGTGGTGCTGGGACAGCAGACATTTGTGTCATTTGTGTTGGAAGGCACCTTCACGGTGCGAAACACCGGCATTTTGGGGCCGCCATGTTGTGATTGTTTTTGGAGGGTTTCCTTTCCGTTTTTTGTTTCACCGAATCCAAAGCCACCATTTTTGGGGCTAGTCCCTACCGTGGATGGACAAAAGATGCCTGGGAGTTTGGGCAATGTGGACCTGATGAGTTCCCCCCCCCCCCACCGCACTTGGCTATGAAGGGTCCCCTTTTGCCGGGGAGTCCTTCCACAAGCGACCGGGTCCCTGATTTTTGCAGGAGTCCTTTGGGCATTCGAGCCCATCCACCTCCACTAGGCACGGTGCCTATTTGCTAGGCAGGTCAGAGGCACCCTCATCAATGGTCACCCCCCTTTGTGGCTCCCCAAGGGTGTCTCTTTTTCTGCCAGGGTCGCTGAATAATTGCGTTACTGGGTGCGTTGCTGCGGTACGCAACTAATAACATGTCAATGTCAATGAATTATACATGTCAGCATACAGGTATATATATATATTATACATATATATATATATTGTATACAACAGACGTATATGAGACCGTAATGAGTGAATAGTTCCCTCACACCCCTTTTAAGGACATGTTTTGTTGATCTGTTTGTAGGGCATAGTTGTATAGTTTCCTTGGACGAGGGGATAACTTCCTTGGAAAGCCTCGATGGGCACGGCTTCAAGGTAAACCTTCAGGCTCATTCCTCGTCTTGAGGGCGATCATGGCGGTCTCTGGTGGTCTTTGGCAGGATCTTTGGGAGGAATCTCTTTTTTTTCTTCGAGAGGTGATCAGTGTTTGTTCGGGAAGGGCTGCTCGGGGGAGCCAGTTGCCCCTGCTTACTTGGAATCGGGTCAAGAGGTTCCAATGTATTGTAGTTCGAGTGAACGGTTGGGCGATGACGTATCCCTGGATGAGGTTCACGAATCTTTGGTTTGGTTTTGTTTTGCGTTTGGCTTGCTCAAAGCAGGCCTGTTCCAAGCTTGTTCCCGAAAGGTTTGTTCAAGGAGTTGCTGAACCAGTCTGGAATCTGAACTTGAAGCAGGCTCCTTGGTTTGAACCACATTTCTTTTGGGTTCATGCCAACTCCTTCGAGCAACTCCCTGTGTTCGCTTGTCGTGCGCACCCTTGTTGCGTTCCACGTGGGCGCACCAAACAATATCTTATGAGTGGAGGTCTTCTAGCGATTCAATGGAGGTGCTTTAAAATAGGGGACACCTTCACAAAATTGCGGTTCCGTGTGGTTTCCCTGTGAAACCAACCGCAAATCGGGTACCCTCAAAAGCAAAAAACACACACTTGAAACAAACATATATATATATATGTATGTATACATAATAGTATATAATATAACATATATATATATATATATTTACAAGCAGACCAGGCAATAAACACTTGTGAATTCGCCGGGCGTCTCTGGTTCCCTACTTGCAGTGCGGAAACCATCAGAATTTTAAGCTTCCGCAACACTTCACGCCACTTGCACGACCACCCCGCTTGCTATGGAAAGCCCCCCCCTCTCCCACCAGGTCAGACGTGGCCTGTGTATCGTCCACTTCGGGAATGTATGAACCAGGCCTACTTGGTTCAGCCCGGCAAGTGCATAAGTCACCGAGGTTATACCCCAATCAGAAGTCTTCATTAGTGGAGTTAAGTTAACCTTGTCAGCGGGTCATGACCCAAGGTGGTTAGCTGGCGGAGCCCGTTTTACTTTGTGGTTTCTTGGTTTCCTGGCTAGAACTGGTCAGCCCAGCAAGGGTTTGCTTTGTTCAACCAAGGTGAAGCTGAGTTAGCACTCGGCTGTGCTCAGACATTGGGTTTCCCCCCACCCCCCCACCCCCGGTTTTCATCATGGGTTCGTACTTTTGAGCACCCGACTCCTACTTGGCTCTTCTCAAAAGGTTCGTTTCCATCGGTTTCCTTTCGGTCTCCCTGTCCAACCACCAAAACTTGGGTATGTCGTTTTTTGGGACCCAATCCCAAACAAACATGGTGCTTCTCCGTTTGGTTTTCCCTTTAAAACCAACCCAACAAGGGAGCCCCTCCCCTTTGTTGGTGGTTTTAAACGAAAACCAACAGCACAAGCACTTGGTGTTTTAGATTTTCTTGGGGGAGGGGGGGTGGTCCACAAAACGACAAGTTCCGCCCACAAAACGCGAGCCCTCCGCGTGTCCAGGCCTTCAGCGGAGCCCGCCTATCGATTCTTCGCGGGGCCGGAGGCCAATGCGGCCAAGCTACGGGCCATGGAGGAGGAGCAGCTCGGGTCCGGAAGAGATGGGTGAACCCCCAAAGCGGTTTGCGGACATCGCTTGGTGGCTCCCAGCCATCCGCTTCCTTAGCTTTTTAGATCTTTTTAGATCTTTTTAGTTGGTTTAGTCACGAAAGCTAGCTTTAGCTAGCTGAAGTTTCTCCTTGCGTAAGCAAGGTAAGGGGCTCAAATGCCGAAAGATTGATTTTTTCAATTATTTGAGCCGAAAAGATTGAAAAATATCAATTATTTAGACCCCCCCCCCCTCCGGTCTCAGGCTCGATTCCTCCCTGGTCCATCCCCCCCCCCCCAGTGGCTCAGGGTTCAGCAGTCTCGGTTTGCCCGTTTTGGACTTGGTGCTACGAACTTTTACATGTTCCACCGATTCAGCTTGTTCACTTGAGACCTCAGTCTTCTCGGTAAACCACCTCGCAAGAATCTTTGCACACGCTGCATGCAGAACCCAGAGGTGCTTTAAGACAGCTTCTGACGCCTCTCGTTGTTTTCATTTTTCAAGGCTTGCCACGCCACCATGTGCGTTTGCGTGACGCATCCTACGAATCTTGCCGGGCCTCTCGTTGTACACAAGCTACCTATGAATCCACTCTGTCACCGACCCATCTCATGCAACAACTGCTAGCTTTCGTTCACCCGCTCCTCAAGTGGTTGGATTTCCATTTCACCCACTAAAAGTTAAACTTTTAGCAGGGGATCTGACGGCAGCCCAGATAAGAGTCCCCAAATGGTGTCAACCATGTAAATGGTCCCTACTAAAAAGTAAACACATCCAGGTGGAGCCGAAGGAGTAATCCTTCCGGGCGCCTTCAGACTTTGACTTTTGCCAGAACATGACCGTGTTTTCCCATGTCCAACTGAACACCACAAGGAATGAGAATTGCAGAGGGGGTTGAGCCATCCAAAAGAAAGGAACCATGCCAAACTTTACTCAGCTTTGTTTTTTTTTGCCCTTTTGGGCTTCCTTCATTTTCCCTTACCCGGAAGGTGGTGGCGTTTCGCAGCCTCAGTCAGGTCAAGGAATCGTCCGAACGGAGCCCATTCGACTTGACTTGAGAGGGGCCCATAGATTCCTTGAATGGACCCCTTTGCAGGACCCTACATCTCCAGACTTAGCTGTTTTTTTTCCCCCTTTTTCCCCAACAGCTGAACGCTTTGGGGTCTCAGCCCAGATAGGCTCCGGGCTGGTCCGGGGCGGCCCTGAGGTAAGGTTCCACGAGGGTTCCACCAGGGTTTGCCCAGGGTTCCATGAGGGTTCCACGAGGTTCTGCGAGGGCTGCGGGGTGGTGCGAGCACTAAAAAGAGCATCGCATGCTGTTGGGGATATCACCTGAGCTTATGTTTTTTTTCATCATGTCCCCTTTCAACCAGCAGGTTGTCACTGTTGGAATGGGGGTTAAGTTTGGCCCAAAGGGTTTTCGATTGCAACCTTGTGCCCCATGAAGTTTCAGGTAGACATATTCAATGCTGGAGGCTTTGTTTCGTTGAGCAACCCCCATACTAGACTTAAACCAAGAAATTGGTTCCCCTTTTGGCATCAACCCGTGGGTTTAAGTCTACCTGTAGTTTCAGGCCACACTACTTGGGTGCTCGTTGCCAAGTTAGCAAGTTGTCAGTGACCTGGGTTCTAATCACTTACAAGCCCCCTTCAGTGGGGTAGTAAGCGGTTAGCCACCTGGCTTATATCCAGCCTCTCTTTTCCACACCCACTAGCCCAGTCATTCGCGGGTTGCAACCCAGGTCGCCAACCACTTGCTAACTTGGCAACGATCATTGGATGCCATCTCACCGCAGAGGTAGGTCGACCCTTGCAAGTTCTTCACATGTGGAGTATTTTTGGTCGTACCGGGGTTATGACTCGAGTGTGCCAGTTTGCTGCTGGCATCGTGCCATCTGCTGCCCCAGTTTCCACTGACATGATCGTCTGAGAGGCAACCCAGACACATTATGAGGTCAATCAGTGGGGATTATTAGAGGTAATTTGTGTGTGTGTGTGTGTGTGTGTGTGTCTGTGTCTGTGTCTGTGTCTGTGTCTGTGTCTGTGTCTGTGTCTGTGTCTGTGTCTGTGTCTGTGTCTGTGTCTGTGTCTGTGTCTGTGTCTGTGTCTGTGTCTGTGTCTGTGTCTGTGTCTGTGTCTGTGTCTGTGTCTGTGTCTGTGTCTGTGTCTGTGTCTGTGTCTGTGTCTGTGTCTGTGTCTGTGTCTGTGTCTGTGTCTGTGTCTGTGTCTGTGTCTGTGTCTGTGTCTGTGTCTGTGTCTGTGTCTGTGTCTGTGTCTGTGTCTGTGTCTGTGTCTGTGTCTGTGTCTGTGTCTGTGTCTGTGTCTGTGTCTTTGTCTGTGTCTGTGTCTGTGTCTGTGTCTGTGTCTGTGTCTGTGTCTGTGTCTGTGTGTGTGTGGTTGTTCTTCCAAAACAAAAGTCACACTCAGAAGCATGAAAGACGAAGGGCAGGGGCAGGCAGAGGTGTGTGCGTGTCCTCATACTGTCTTCCAAGCTTGAGAAGTGGACGCTCAGAGGGTTTGTCCACTTCCATGATTGTTTGAAGAAGGCGCGTAATGTTGACCCCGGATGAGTCAACCCCAGTTCTTAATGGGGTGTTGCCCTCCAAAAGTGGTCTGATTCCCCACCACACCCAGGGAGAAGCACGCCCCTTTTCATAAACTGCGGTTGATTAATCCGGGGTCAACATTTTTCCAGTGGATTCACCGGAAAATGTCTGACAACTTGCTGTTTACCCAAAAATTGTCTTTGTCTATTGCTTGGCATCGCGCAAAGGTACACGCAGTTGGCTCAATCCTGCGATTGCGACCTCACTGACCAGCGGCTTTTGCGTGCGACGCTGGACGCCTGGACTGGATCCATGGGGGCCGGAAGGGTGCTACAGGTGATTGACTTTGGACCCTCAGACCACCCTTGCAACCAGGTATTGCCCCACAAAATGCCAACATTGTGGGGTGATGTCCTCTGTTTCTGGAAAGTTTGAGGGCCCATTTTTGTGTTTCCAGCTCTCCTTCAAAGTGACAAGGAATTCCTGGCATGAAATTCTTGGCCGAAATCCGCGAGTTTGACCTTTCATGAAGGGCGACGAGTGTCCCCAAACGCCGTCCAGTCGCTCAAGGCTTCAGGTAGTTGTTTTACTTCTCAGCCAGTTTAATGGTGACTGGCAACAATTTGTCACTCCACATTCCGTCATTTCAAGCAGGTGACATGATTCAGGGTTTTCCGAGCCATTTCTCTTCGTGGAACCTCCAAAAGTGGCAGTTGCAATGGAAGCCACCAGAAAATTGATCAACCTGGGATGAGCCGCATCGAGCCGAAGTACTTCCAATTAAATGTCCGGTTTTTACGGAACCCCTGAGAAGACTAGAAAGCTGACTGGTTTTGCAGGAGTTTTTTTTTTGGGGGGGTACTCTTTTGGTGGTTGTTAAAAAAGGACAACCACCATTTTGGGGGCACCCGGTCGATATTCTCCACAAAACGGATCGCAGATGAGCACAGGATTTGGAGGTTTCTTTCCATACAACGGCCAGAAAGGGATCCAAGCTCGTTGACAACTTGTTTATTTCAACTAGCCTCCACCAATTCACGTGGAACCTGCAGAGGGGTCCTGGATCATTTTCCTCTTAAAGGGACCCTTTGGCAGGTTCCATGTTCATTGGTGGGAGGGTGCCCTCTTTCCAACAATCGTGGAAGTGGCCGAGTGGCTTTCCCGAAAGCGTTGGACTTCCTACAGCCGATCGGAAGCTTCCACGGGGGAACTGAAGGCCGGTGCGAAGGTTCCCTTGTCCAATTGAGGAACTGAGCGGTGCCTACATTGAGGCCGACTGCCTGGACAAGGCACCCAGAACGTACGCAAGTACTCTATGAAATTGGGGAGCTTGTTAGGGGTGAGGGTTATGGTTGCATGGGTAAAAATTGTTCGGGGAGCCTTTTTGGTTTGAAAGGGAAACCAAAAGAAACCTCCATCCACCACGTAAGTGGAGAGGTCTTTACATCATGGCAGTCTTCCTTAAAACCCCCCCCCATGGTTGTTGGAAAAGAGGGTCGACATGAAGGGTCTTACCGCAGTTTTCCGCAGTTTCAAGAACAGGGGAGTTGCCCGCCCTGCGAATGTGCCTATGAGCTCGACCCAAATGGTTCAGTCCTGCAAATCTTGGTTTTTGGTGGGTTCCCCGCTCAACCCCCCCCCCCACCACAAAAGAAGGTGTTCTCTCTCTTCTTTTTTTTTCCAGGGCCGCTGGTTGCTGGTGGGGGTGTTTGTCCGCGCAGATTCGGCCTGTTCGATTCTGGAGGCAACCAACTTCAAGGGTTGAACTTTATGTCCGTGGTCTTCTCTAACGTTATTTTGGTGTGTCTTCAACTAGGGCACCCCCAAAAATGGTCTGTTTCCCCTTCGGTTTCCTTCAAACTGACCACAAGCAGGGCGAGGCTCCCCACCAAGAAAATCAGGCCCATGTTTCAAAATAGGGCTGACAAAATCTGACGACCTTTTGTTGAACCCCAAAACCAGGCCTCAGAAGGGAGAATCGGTTCCACCGGCGAGGGTTCTCTTGGGTAGCACGAGCCACTGATGGTGATACTTCCCCCCAATGTAGCCAGACATGTTGGTTGCCTTGGTGTTGAGTTCCCGGAAAGTGGTCGGTTTTTGAGAGGCTCTCAAAAAAGTAAGAATGATAGATAGAACAATCCTAGAGTAGTCTTGTTTCGCTGATCGCCGCCATTTAGAAGGGAATTTTCAGTACACATTCAGGTGCGTCACTCAAGCAGGTAGCCCTTGAAAAGGAAGGTTTGCCATTGATGTCGCTGGAAATAGGGGGACGCCTGCGTTCTAGCTTAAACAAATACCTAAGGGAACCACCGTTCTACTTGTTGGATGGTCGCGGATCCCGGAAATTTGGAGAACCAGGATAAGGCCAACCATCAGGGGAATCATGACATTGGCCCACAGGAGTTTGGACCATGGCAGGAACCGCCGCATGAACCGCTAGGAATGTGGAGCGATGTCACAGGTTTCAACGCAAACTTCAGGGTTTGACACCTTAAAGTGGAGCTGCGCCACTGATCTCAAGCGCAGAAAAAAACAAGCAGATATCAGATTGACACGCATGTCTTGCAGGCTCCTAGCCATCCGGTTCCTTAGCTTTTTAGCTTTTAGCTTCTTAGTTGGTTTAGTGGTTGGATTTCCATTTAACCCACTAAAGTTATGTTTTTAGCAGGGCATCTGAGGGCAGCCCAGATTTACCACACTATACGCACCTATGTCAGCTTGGGTGTTCATCAAGTATGGGTGTGCGTTTCTGCTGAGGCTACCCTTTTTGGGGAGGTGAAGGGAAACCAAAAGGAACATCAAAACGAATTGCGGGCCAAATCCCCTATTTCACCACATACCCACACGTTCAAGGGACTCTTAGTTGCTTGCCCTTGTCCGTATTGAGGGGCAAAATCGCGCACGAAATCCTGCACCTAAGAACCTCTGGAATGATTCGATTCCGAGAAATACCAGCAAACAATGGTCTCAACCATGGTTTCCAAGTGGTGCGACATGGTTTGCGTCCACAGTATCATCATAACTTTACGGTTTGCATTGTTTGTTTTTATTTACATGGGAATCGAATCATGCCACAGATTCTTAGGTGCAGGATCTCGCCCATGTCTGCACGCCCAAGTTGGGCCTCGAATCCATGCCCCCGCGCCTCTCGTCTCCTCGCGAGGCGGAGTTGCTCTTGCAGAAGGCCCAGGAAGTCACCGGGCAACGAGGCGGCGAAACTCACAGCTGGTGCGCCTCGGAGTGAGCTTACGGACTCGGCGCTCTTCTTTTTCCGGCTTGTGTCAACATGGCTAACGGGGCCCTTCTTCTTCTTCGCGGCTCCAAAGGGTCCTTGCCCTGTGCCCTGGAAACGGATGCACCGCGTCCACATCGCCTCAAAAAGAAAGACATCAAAACAAAACCGGCCACCAAAAACGGCCTGACCGAGACAAAACCTGGCTGGTCGGGTGGCTCACTCGCCGGCCCTTTGCGCTTCAAAGCAGGGGCGGCGCACGGCGTCTGATCTGCAGGAAGGGTATGTGCCTCCATACTGCGCGCTTGGCACAAAAAGTCCTCGGTGCCTTCACTGCTGTCGGGCCCTGTGTGGCATGCCCGCAGCAGCTCGAGATGCCGAACCACACTCTGCGCCAGTTCATGCAAAATGCATCGGGGTAAACTCTAGAACCATCTAGCGTATAGCCGAAACCATCCTTATGCAACAAAGGCTCAATTGGTGTCGCTGGCGCTTGGTGACTCGAGCCAAGCATATGGTGTAGCCAAGATAGTTTATAAGAAAGAGGGGTGCAATGGCAAGGCCTAGGTTTCCCCAAGTATTCCCTGCTGAATGTGAATCTGATGGCACTCCGGAAGCTCCTTTATCCAAGCCAAATAAGGCAACGCCCACACTGAAACTGATTGTGTCTGCGCAGGCACGGGCAGGGAATCTTGCAACGCAAGCGCAGTGGGTCCGGACACATGCGGCAAACATGATGAGTGTGGCCCGAAGCAAATTGTTGTCCCAGGAAACCTGCTTTTGGTGTCGCAAATCATTATGCGGAAGCCCCCATAGGGCAGCCCTGGGTCGGAGTACGGACCTTGTCTTGTCTGCTGACCATGTTCCTAGCGCAAGGTCAGGAAAAAGATCGTGCACTCGGCCATCACGGATGTGGCGGGCGCATTGCTGCAAAGTTTTGAGCCTGCCTAGATTGTCCATGTCCAAGCGAAGCACAACAACATCTGCATGCCAGGCGCTCAACTGTTGCACGAAATGCACAAAGTCCAAATGCTACAAAGCTGCAAGCGCTGCCTTGGGGGGGGGGGCTAGGCAGGCGTGCGTGATTTGGCTGAAGGGCATGAAACTGAACGCTGAAGTCTTCTTCCAACAAGTATGGGCTGGTCGCTTGCGGCTTTGACGCCGAGTGTTCAGCTCCTGCTACCCTTGCAAAACGTTCAAGCGTCTGTGCAGGCGCATGCTTGGTTGGAGATGGGGGCAGCCGAGAGCGCGCATCCTGCTTCAGAAGAAGCGCGACAGCGATCACTTGCTCGCACGCAACTGGGCAGTTCCATGCGCTGGCTACTGCTTCTGCCTGTTCGGACCAAAGCTTGACCTGGGCGTCGAGATGTTCTGGGCTGACCCGCTTGTGCTGGTCTGCTACGCATTCTGCCAGCACGTGGTGCAGCACATCGGCATGGAAATTGCCATCAGGCATGGCCTCCTCATGCCATAACTGCGCGGCACGGGTCAAAGCCGCTTGTATGCCATCGTCTGGCACTGGTGAGTGCGAGGGGGTGGCCGGACTGCAAGTGGCTTCAACCTTCAAGCCGTCCGGCACAAGAACGTCATTAACGAGTCTTTCTTGCACTGTCGGGACGCGCGGGCCCTGCAGCTGCACGAATTTTTGGCGCCTGCAAGCAGCAGTTTGCGGCTGGTCCTTGTCGCGTAGCACATCATCTGGCGCGCGAGGGCACAGCTGTCATCAGAGCCGCTAGACGTTGCCGTCCGCCATGCTCAAGGCGACTTTTAAGCTTGTTGATGGAATGGAAGTCTTTCAAGCTACAAAGTCTGACTGCGAAGGCCGTGCGCCACAAACGCGTGCGCGCCTACTGCCGGCTTGGTCGCGAATCGCTTGTTGCACTGCTGGCATTGGTAGGGCAGCTCGACCGAGACCAGTTCTGCTCGCTTGGTGCGCAAGCCAATCAGCTCGCAGCCTGCCTCTTGCAGAAGTGCCACAAAAGCACGCCGCCTCTCAAGCACCTTGCTGAATCCGATTGTACCACACTGTCTTGGCGACCGCCTTGGCAACCCAGTGTTTCCAGCGGCATTCTCCGCCCACTATTTCGGCAATGCCTGCTGGGTGCTCCCGCACGCCTTTTACGTATTTGGGCATCAGGCTAGCAAACCATCGGAAATCATTGCAAACATGATGCAGCCAAGATTGTGCGCAGGTCTGCCACTCTTTGAGTAGAAGTCCCCACAGCATGGGCGAATTACCGCTGAGCAGCTGTCCCAACAGTCTGAGCCGGTGCTGCTTGACCATCACGGCTGCTGAAGGCTTCACAACCTGCGCAAGCACAGCTTGATTGGTGGTAGGCGCTGTGGGTGGTTGGTCAGACCAGCAGCCGTCCGGTACTAGGTTTGGGCTGCGTATTCCAGCTTTCGCTCCCAATGCGGAGAAACGCTTGTCCACGCCCCTGCACCAAAGAACAATCTGGTGCCGCATGGAATCTGCAAGAGAAAGCTTGGCAGTACTAGAAAGGAAGCGGTTTTGGAAAACTGGACACTTAAGCTCTTTCAGCGCGGCATGGTGGGACTGGCATCGTGCTGTCAGTTCTGGTATCATGCTGCCGTCCATTGCCACGAGTGCCCCAATGATCCTCAGCTCTACACGCTGTCCCTCAGGACCCAGAATTGGAATCTTAGAGCCTCTCTCAGCATGCAGCGAGTGGACCAGATCATGCCCAGGGCGGTGACTTTGGGCTTGTGAGGCCCGCTCCCAGAGCGAGGTCCTCCATGCGAGACTTGCCCCTAGACGTTGGGGTAGTTCCCTTCAGTGAGTGGACTCAGGAAGAGCTGGTGGTGTGGCACTGAAAGCCAGCCAGGGTTGTGCACGTTACTGTTGGCCGGGCCAGGGCGCCCAGTTGGCATGTGAGGAACACCCAGCATTTCAAGAAGCGGTGTTCCACAGCTTATGTGGCTGTAAGGTACTACATCGAGCACGTGCAACAAGCAGAGGGAAAGTAGCATCTCCCTTGTCTAAAGGACTTATGAGCCGGCCTTGTTAAAAAGATGCAAAGGCATTTTCGAGGATACAAAGTCAAGCGCTGCAATGTTGTGGCCAGCTGACTTCAAAGGCGCTCAGCTTGGGCCCGCGAGCAAAGGCGTTGCGATAGCAGAAAAATGAATGATTTGCTCAAAGCCAGACCAGTTTACACATATGCAAAGAAAGCAAAGATAAATACAGATGACAGAAGAATATGTAACTTGTGCTAGGAGTTTCGCACGCGCGGTTAAACTATAACACTTGATGGATGGATGTGTGGATGTTTGGATGGGTGGATGCATGGACGCTTGGATGTGTGCATGGATGGAAGGGAGGTTTGATTGGTTGGGTGGTTGGATGGATCATGGCTGGAAATGCGGAAAAGCGGATAGACGGATACGTGGAGAGCGAGAGACACCGAGAGAGAGAGAGAGAGTGAGAAACATAGAGCGAGAGAGAGAGAGAGAGAGAGAGAGAGAGAGACAGAGAGAGAGGGAGAGAGAGAGAGAGAGAGGGAGAGAGAGTGAGATAGAGAGGTAGAGACAGATAGATAGATCGTCGCCTTTGCTCCTGGAAGCCTAGTCATGGCTCCTCTAGTTTCCAAATGCCTTACACCTACAGCTCACCATCGCCAGATCTGTTGGTACTTTGCGCAGTTGGCCTGTGACGAGGCATGGCTGAGGTGGAGTGGCCGCAAGAAGGCCGGGGTGTTGAAAGGACCTTCAATCTCCCTGCAAAAGAGCAGGCAATTGTTTCAGGAATCCTTCTTCTGCGGAGCTGGATCAAAGTTGAGCCGAGTACATGCATGCATCCCTTGAGTTCATGTTTAATGCCTAAGAAAAGCTTGCCTGCCCCTTCCCCCCTTGCCACCCCGCCAGCAAGATTTCAGGGGGCTGCTTCAACACTGAAAACATCCATCTGCATGACGGGCACTGTTCCCGCAGGCCGAACCATGATGGTAAGCGCCCTTCGCAGGGCCGCGGCCGCTTGGTATGCAACGTAAGCGATCCCTTCCCCCTGATAATGAACCCCCCATGGTTCAGGAAGATTGCGCCAAATGTGGCGCAGGCAAGCTTGGCATGTAGGAAATGAGGATCTCTTCAAGAATGTTGACAATATTGATTTATGAAACAGATCGATTTTGTCAATAAAGCAAAGATGCATGAGCTTAGTCTTGTCTTCCCAATTTTTGCTCGACTAAACTTCCTTTATTTAGAAGTTTCAGTATTCCTTATCATTGCTTTGTGTTTACTGTTTCGTTGCTCGAAGTGTATATCATATCATGATTTCCAAAGCGTGCCTCCTTGTTTTGGTTCTTTCCATTGCTTATGGTTGCTCCCGTTTTCTAGTTTATGAGATGCATCAGTGTAGTAGCGTCGCATTTCGACACATAGATCAATCTATTAAAGGAAGGCAACGCTGACAAACGAAGATTGATTTGGAAAACGAAGCAAAGGAAGTCAATTTTTGTGTGGCCGTTCTCTGCTAAGTCTATGCTTTTGTGAAGTACTGCGGTCTCCTTCCCTTTTCTTCTTCCCTTTTCTTCTTCCCTTTCCTCCTCCCCTTGTCATGAGTCTTTCTTTTCCCTGCTTCTTTGCCCCTGTCTAATTGTCTCAAAAGTCGCAAGTAGAGCCATCTTCTTAGGAAGAAGCAATGTGTCTTAATGACTTGCCAGTTTTCCTTCCCCTTACGCTAGTCCTTGCTGTGATTCTTTTTCCCGCATCCCTTTGCCTTTGTCCTGTGTTTTTCTTGTTCATGTTTTGTCCATGTGTTGTACTCTGTGAGGCCAACTATGTTTGCAGAGACAGATCCACGTTACAATGGACGCCTTGTGATGCCTTGTCCATGGCCAGGCGGAGGTCATTGCAGCGTCGGGAAAATTGTCAGACGGGGTCCCTTGCCTGGAAATGGAAATATGTCATTTTGACCCAGAGGGTGGTGATATTGGCCGTGATGAGCTGGAAAGCATGTGGGCCATTCTGGGCCACACAGGCAAAACAAAAAACAAAGGAGTGGCAGCTGGTTTTACCTTGAGCTGGTTGCCCTGTGGTTGTGGCTGGACATCAGGCCCCTCAAACAGTCAGTGATTGTTGCAACTCCAAATTTTGATTCAAGGCCCCCCCCTTCTCAGATGGGGGCTGTTCCTGTGCAAGCAGTTCAACTTTTGTTGGTCAGAGGGAAAACATGTCTTTTCCTTAAAGTTGCAACCAAATCGCATCCACATAGGGCAGTGTCCTGTCACCAGGCCCTCTGCCTGAAACCAGACGCAAGTGGAAGCTGCGAACTTTGGCGCCCCATTGGCTCTTACATGGTCCGACAAGATTTCGGCTTTCAGCACTCACCCACTTCTCCGACTTCTCCTTGCACTGCCGGCTCAGGGTGAGGAAGTGGGCCGTGTAACTGAAACTGGATCAAAGCACAAGTTGCTGGCACATTGGCACTGCTTTGTGTTCCCTCTCAGGGGCATGTTTAAACAGATGCTGCAAGCGCACAATGGTTGAACCTTGGTTTTTGGGCCATTTGGTTTCCTGAAGTTTCCCCTTCACATATCCTAAAAGATGCTCAAAACGTCTCAAAACCCAGATTGATGGAGACCTGGTTTTGCGGGCTTTTGGGCCGGCAACTTTCTGTGAGCCCAGGGGCAAAATTCATTACATACCCTCCCTGGTACCCTTCAAAGGGAATCCAAAAGCTGGTTGTTTAGGCAATGGGCAACAATAGGCGTTAACACGCGTAAAAACAAGGGGTTGAGCCCACCCTGCTGCAAGCGTAACATGGAGAACCATGGCTTGAAGTGATAATTCGAAGAGATACTGAAGTGATACCGCGGTGTTGTAGGTACTTTTTCATGTATGGGTATCCTCACCCTTTGCACCGAGTTTTGAAGGTCCGCCAAGGTCCACGCAAACACACTAACGGTTGTTCGACCTTGTTCTAAGTCAGCAAAGTGGCAGCTCAACATCAAACATATTCTAACTCTACTAACAATGTCTTTTACTGTAGGTGTTCCTGCTATAATCTTTCTGTTGTCGCGGTATAGGTATTGTATCAACATGCCTACATGCATAGATAGCACATTAAAAATAGACTAGAGCACGAACACATATATACATATATCACATATATATATATACACTTTTATTTACCAATCTATTTGTCTAGATGTTGTAGCCCTCAGCCCCCATGGACGTACATGTTTCCAATTGATTTGCATCTGAGCGTGTATATTAGTACAGTACTGTACTAGAACTCTAGTACGGGACGCTGCGCGAGCAGGTGTAGGCTCCGCCATTGTTGTTCTCCTGCCCAGCGTGCGCGCTCCCAACGCACTCAGAAACTCCAGACCCTACCTTGCAATTTACGTCAATGCGCACTATGCACGAGTACTTCCGGTATGGCTCCTGGGATAGCTTGCTGCAGTTGACTCCAAAAGGCTTGCTTTTTGATGGCTTCTTGTTGCGCACGCTCTGCGTGCGCTGCAATCACATTGATGCGCAGGATTTGCGTGTGCGCATGTATGGCAAGCGCACGGTGTGTGGACACAAAGATGTCCTTTACGGACCCACTGCAATGCGCAAGCCGTGTTGTCATGCAAATCAAGAGGCGCTTTGTCGCCGTGGAGGCAATTGTCCAGCCAGGGCCACGGTCCCGCACTCACACGCCTTTTCAGAGGCACGGCAACTGGGCAGTGCTTGCGCACTGTCTTTACAGGGCGCAAAACTTCAGCAGGCTGGTCCACGCGGAAAGTGACATCAACCCCATGTGCCAACGAAACCCGCCTCACTTCACTGCTTCTTGCCCTTGAGCATCTTCAAAAAGCTTCTCCGAGTTGCTCTTCTCCTGGCGCAACCGCCTGCGTTCCGAGCCACTCTTCTTGCGCTTTGGCTTCTGCCATCCCGTCCCAGACTTCGCTGACTCTTCTGGGTCGCTGCTGCTGCCAACGCTGGCGATGTCTTCTGGCTTGCGCTTGGCTGGCTGCTCTTGGTCTGACAGAATCGGAAGGGCATCTTGCTCAGCACCGAGGTTGAGTCTGGTGCGGCTCCCGCGAGTAGTCCTGCAGCTTGTCCTGGAGCTCTTGCATGGTTTTCAGGCTGGTCTTGTCGGCGGAGCTGGGGCTGGATGTGTTGTCGAGCGCCTTCTTCATCTCTTTCTGAGCCTCGACTTCCTGTTCCGTGACCTTGCTGGGTCCACTGTTCCAGCATTCCTTGCGCACTCATGTCAGAGCTGTATTCACCATGACCATTGTTAAGCGCGTCCACGCGCACTCTGTCAAACCTTTATCCACCATGACCATTGTTAAGCACACACGTCCACAACAGTTGGCCGGGGTTTTGACCAAGGCGCCCTGAAGCCGCTCCTTCTCCTTCTGTATCTTGGACAGCATGTTGGCCTGGCTGCGGAGTTGCGTAGCCAACGGCCTGGACTGAGAGCGTTTTGGCAAGGATCGCCTACGCCTCCTGCAGGCCTGTCCGTTGGCACACTGCCTGAAGCTGCCCCACGTCGGCCGCTTCCCCAGTTGCCTTGTAGGACGGCATCACTGGAACCTGCGCATGCGGCCGCATGGACACGTCCAAGATGCTGGCGTGCTCATGCCAGGTGTGTTCTCGCCGATGTGGTAGCGCTCTGCTGTCTCCTTGAAGTCCTCGCCATGCTGCTTGGTCTTCCCTCTGCCCTCTCCCTTCGAGACATTGGAAACTTGCTGCCGGGCCTCCGCGGGCAAAACAAAGGGCAGTGTTGAAGGCCCCCAGATCGGCGAGCAAGTTGCCTGACACGACTCCGCTTGGCTCGAAGGCGCCGGTGCCAAAAAGGTTCAGGTTCTCTGGGTATGGCTGTCGTGCAAGTGCACTTGTTCTACAAACAACCTTTCGGGCGTGCTTTAGCCCTAACAGACCCCTTTCTTCACTGCAAACAACAACCCTGCTACAATCAAATGCCAAGGCCCATACAACTGCGGGGGGGGGGGCTTACAACTGCGGAGGGGGGGTGGATTCAGCGTCCACCGCCTCCCCGCCAAACTGAGGCAAGCAGACGCAAATCAAACACATTCCTCCGGCTGATGGGGTCATATTGCCCGCTGTCCTCCAAAAGCATGGGTTTTTGCGTATGCCTTCCTTCAGGCGTTGTTGGGCGGTATTGGATTAAACGTCATCAACCCATGACCCAACAATCACCTCACCATTCTAAGGCTTCTGCCTTTGTCTATTTGGTTTGCTCGGGCAACCACATAAACCCACTTCCTGAGCTCCTGGACTTTGGTCACCTTTTGGGTAGACCATTTTAGTGTGATCACTCTTTTCGTGGCAGATGAAACACACTTTGCACCAGTTAGTTGAGCACACGTTTTAGTGGCAAACGCGCGACTCGGTAACTCTTTTTCGCCCAGCTCGACGTGAGTCAAGGGCTTTGGACTGGCTCCATTTGCGGCACTCGGAGCCCGAGGCACGCAGGAGCTCGCGGCACTGCGGGTGAAGCAGAACCGGCAGCCTTTCGGCGGCAGGGCCTTGTAGGTTTGGCGCTTCGGGGTGGTGGGGGTGGCTGCCAGGCCATCCGGTTCTTTGGCTAGAGATCTTTTTTTGCTGGTGTAGGGGTTGGATTTCCGAGTTGAACCCGGCAAGTTCGTCCCTTGCACCGGTTTTTGGTTAGTCTCCGAGTTCCACGCACTAAAATTGTGAGTCACTCTTAGGGGATCTGAAGGGATCTGAGGGCATCCCATCCGGGCGTTCGGGCAAGTTGGGAACCGAGCTAACACAGACATCCCCAAAGTCCCTGGTGAGTGGCCGAAAGCAAAGCGCTTGAAGCCGGAAGCCGGAAGCCTCGAGTTCGATCGAGACGGAAGCGCATGGGGCTGTTCGAGGGAAGGAAGCAGCCCGTCGGATGGGTGGTTTTTTGGTGTTTGGTCGCCTTTATGCTGGCGTTCCACAGGAGCTTGGATTGGAATTGGCCAATCCTCCATTTTGAGCAGACCAAGTTGCTTTGCCGGAACCTGTGTGTGTGGGTGGGGGCCTGGTCACACGATTGAAAGCCAATCCATCTAGTTTATATGAAAGTGTAGCAAGGCCAGCTGCGGCTTGGAATTGGAATATAGAGGGACCAGCTCCTTTGGCCGTTCCTGGATGACCAAACCCAAAGCGTAACCTGGTCGACGCTTTTCTTGGGTTGTAGATGTTGGTCTAGACCATGATGTCCAACATTCGGTCTGCTGAAAAAAAACAACCATCATATTGTGTTTTTACATCACGGTTTGGAAAAACCAAAAGGAAAACACCATTTGGTTCTTTCCCACTGAAAACAACAAACAAACCACATGTTGGTCCAGACGACGCTGGCCGACCGTGGCACAGGCGACTCGGGTCACTGAGGCCTGAGGCGCTGGAGTTATTGGAGGGCCTGCAGCCGCGACCAAAGCGGAGCGACGGGTTTTCGCCCGTGGCTGGTCTCCTGGAATGGGTGTGTCTTTTGTTAGTGCCCTTCAAAACCACCAGAAAAGGGGTACCCTCAAATCTTATCTTGGTGGCTCCCAGCCATCCGGTTCCTTTGCTTTTCATCCTTTTAGTTGGTTTAGTGGGTTGGATTTCCATTTCACCCACTCAAAGTTGGTCACTTTTAGCAGGGGATCTGAGGGCAGCCCAGTTTTCTTGGGGGATTGTGCCTCAGGTTGCCCTTTAAAACCAACCAAAAAGGGGAACCCTCAAAAAAGGACACCCGGGGTTTGTCAAAGTTAGGGCCCTTTTTGGTATCTCCTTGACAAGGCGGCACCCGGAAACTCCCCAACAGATCAAGTCATTCATCCAGAGGACCCACTTCCAAGCATTTGCGCCAATTAGTTCACTTAGCTCACCGATTTGGGGCAAAGCGAGCGACTTAATCCATCATTAAGAGCAGATGTTCCTTCCCTCCCAGCTTGATACCGACCGCTAGACCCGACCGATCTTGGATTCAGAAACGAAGATCGGTTCGAAGGAACCAGGGTTCCCTTTATTTCCCTTCTTTCATTTTTTTAGATTTCGCCTTTTCTAGATCAAAGTGAGCTCGTTGTTGGAGTGCTGTTGTCGGGGAACTGCGGGACGAAGGAAGCCCAAGCCAAGGAAACCCAACGAAACACGAGGGAAACTGAGGGAAACCCAGGGAAGACCAAGGAAACCCAAAAAAACTGAGGGAAACCCAAAGGAGAAACCAAGAGGAAAACAACTTCAAGAAGCCTTAGGAGCCTGGGCCGCGTCTACAACTCCTTGGGCCGCTTTCAGGAAGCACTCGAGTGCTTCCAGGAGTCCAGTGCCAAGGGTTTGGCCGGGTTTCCAACCCAAACAGGTCATCCACGTGGTGTTGCTGGTTTTTTCTTGGGGAAAAAAGCCCTTGGTGTAGGAAAGCACATGGTCTGTCTTGGGGGAACCCTTGGTTTTAAATAAAATATTTGGTTTTGTTGGGGGAACCCTTGGTTTTAAAAAATATGTGTGGGTTTGTTGGGGAAATTTGCAGGTGCCCGTCCCTGTTGCTCAAGGTTCTGTCGCGACCGGTTTCAGTTCGGGGCCGGGGTTGGCGAAGGCCCTTGAAGGTTTTTGAATTGCAACTTCGCCGTTCTTGGCAAGTTTGTTTGGTTCTGTTCATGTTTAGGGGGGCTGCAAAGAACAAGGATGCTGCTCCCATACCAAGGGTTGTGAAGGTAGATATTGCAGAAGGGTTGGCTCATACTGGCACCCTGCAACTACTGCTTTTTGGACGGGGCCAAGGGGATTTTGGACATGGGAATTTGGCAGTTGTTGGGACCCGGGTGCTGGTAGAGCTCATTCCCCACAAGAAGGTTTGGGCTCACAACTCATTCCCAACTGAGCAAGTTCTTCGCTATCTGAGCGACTGGGGATATTACACGATATACATACTGCATGGGTTGGGCAACCTATTTAAGAGTGGGTTGCCGGGTACTGTACTAATGAAGTCATGCTCTTAGGAGATCATGGTAGAACTTATTCCGCTCGTCATAGTATTTAGTTGACCAGGGTTTGTTGACACGGTCCCTAAAAGTGTTACGACACCCAACGTGGCGGTCCTCAGGCAACCCCTGCATTTGACCCGGTTTTCATGGGGTTGGGGTTCAGGCCTAGATCAAGCCTTGTAACATGTTGGTAACAAGTTTAGTGGGTGAGTTTTGGTCGCCCAAATTCAGAAGGTTGCCAAGCACCCGGGTTTCCAAGCACGGGTCAAACTTCCTTTGTAACGGATGTGTTGAGGGACATCTGTTTGGGGCACCCCCAGATTTGGTGGTTGTCCTTTTGATTTCCCTTTAAATCCAATAAAAGACAGACCCATGTATAAATTTAACTATATATATACACACATGGAACCCTAGGAAAACAGTCACCATCAGACCCCTAAGTGCTGACTGAAACAGGTGGAGAGCCCAACCTGCTTTTCGAGGCTCCAGGACAAGACTTTTGTGCGTAAGACCAATATGCTTCCCCAGATTTCGCTGCACATTAACCTGGGGGTTCCCCTTTGGGGGTCCCCTTTGTTTTTGTTAGGTCCTTTTTTTGGTCCCCTGTGTTTTCCACTAGCCAGGCAAAAAAACGAGCAGTTTTTTGGCTGGGGCTCCCAATTCCAGCCAAGGAGTCAGACTTTTGTTCCGGAGCCATTCAGGAAGTGCTGGCAGACCCACGTTTCAGTCTTCTTGCTGCGGTTTCCCAAGTTGTTCGCGTGAGGGAGCTGAAATCATTTTTTCATGTGGCATGAAGGAGGCTACCTGGAGTTGGAGTCCACATGCAAAACATTCCCCTTGCAAAGGTTCCTGTTTTAAGACCCACATTTTGGCACAAGCGCAGACGCGGGGGCTTGAATCATCACCTCGATTTCTCTGCGCTCGCAAAGGATTGGCCTTAATCTTGATTGGATTGCTGGTTGGGGGACGAACCCGACAGGTTCTCCTCAGAACAATACATATATATATATACACTATATATATATATATGCATTATGTAATATAGGTTTGGGTTGAGCAAATATGGAGCAGACTCAGGTTTCTTGTTTTTGGTGTACCCCACAGCTGGGCCCATATGTTGATTTGGATGCCTGGGATGCATTGGTGCCTGTCAGCATGCAGCCAATGCTGAGATAGATTGAACGGTTGGAACCAGACTGAAACCGTTGAATCCATCCATTTGAACCAACGAACCAACCAACCGACCGACCGACCGACCAGCCAACCAACCCACGAACCAACCACCCAGCCAACCAACCAACCAACCAACCAAGCAAGCAAGCAACCAACAACCAACCAACCAACCAACCAACCAACCAACCAACCAACTAACCGACCGACCGACCAACCAACCAACCAACCAACCAACCAACCCTTATGTAGAGGCGTGCCCTGTAGGAGGCTTCCTCCGAAGATCTCTGGCAGCAAGCTGTCGCCCACAAGGGCCTGGGCAACCTGGCCAAGGCCGAGGACGGAGCTTTGAGCCAGCACCTGGGTCCGAGCAACTGCGCCCAAATCCCATGTCCAAAAAAGTGACTAAACTCCGGGAACGCAGGGAGTGAGTAAAAGCAGGGGCCATTCACGGATTCACAGGACCCAACAAAACGGCCCAGGAATGTTTTGACGAAAGCTTGGCCGACATCTGCGGTCCAGAGTAAAATCAGATGGCTGTGGGTCAAAGCTAATGGGATCCCAATTTGGGGTAAGTGCACCACCCATGTTCACCGGGGGTACGGGATTTTGACCCATGTCCAAAATCCCCTTGATACCACTAAAAGGTCAAAAGGCCCAGTCGATTCGCTGAGGGCAAGTGAGACTTGTTTTGGCCAAGTCTGGAAGTTATCAGTAGCTAGGTCATAACCTGTCATACGTCCACCGTTCAGTGGAGATAATCTTGTTACAAGTGTTTCTCACGGTGACGAACCACAGACAAAACCTTAGCAACAAACATCCAAGTTCTCCTTCTTCCCTTTGCGTTTACAGCCTTGCTCATCCTTAGGGAAAGCACCTTATTAAACGACATCATCAAGCTGATTTCGCTGATGCAGGTCCTTTGGGGTTCCTTGTTTGTGGCTTGGGAATTCATTTGCTGTTTTCCCCCACGCTCAGGGCTTACCCCCACACCCCCAGTCTAACTATCTTATTGGATGTTCGGCTTAGCCGCCTGGGCTGCCAACTTGGTCGCATCCAAGCATTATTGACCCCATATTAATCAACCCCAGTTTATAAATGGGGTGTGCCCCTCAAGTGGTCTGCTTCCAACCAGTAAACCCAGAAAGGACACCCTAGCAATAAACTAAGCCTACTAAACGCACTAAACCCACTAAACCCACTAAACCCACTAAACCCACTAAGCCCACTAAACCCACTAAACCCTCTAAACCCACTAAACCCTCTAAACCCCTTATTAACACACTGGGGTTGATTCATATTCAGTCAACCTTCACCCCTTCCGCACTAAGAGTGATCTGTGGAACCCCTATCGAGGAGCTCCTGAGCCGCGCGCTGGACATGGAGCTCCATCCACTGATGCGGGCCCAGGAATGGCCCGGGATGCTCGCGAGCTTCGGGCCTTTTGAGGGTCTCGCTTGGCGCAGGGCAGAGTTTTGTCCTATCATTTGTTTTATTTGTGTCCTGAGAAACCTTGGATTGTTTGTCTCTTGACTAAAATGTCCAACCAAGCTTTATTTTTGCCGTGGGTGAACGGTTGGAACCATCTTGGGGATGTTTTGCCTCTGAACAAAGGAAACGTTTAAATCCTGGGTGTGGGATTGAACGTTGACCTGTTCAAATAATGAATCAGGCGCTGCAATTAGTGTCTGGGATATGTAAAATGATGTTCGCAAATGCTTCATGAATTTAAATATATACGAACCGCCCCGTGTTCCGGCAGGAATGGCATGCCCAAGAATTTAAGTCATGATGGGAGAACACTGTGTATGCCTTCAGGGCTTCCGAGACCTGCAAGGGAAGAGGAGTTCACCTAAAAACAAGAGGAGCCCGGGAACCCAAAAGCAAACCAGCCTAACTCCCCACGGCATGTGGATCCCGTTGTTTTCCGGCTCAAGGGTCCGAAGGCAAACCAAGATTTAAGTTGTTCACAGTTGGGAAATCAACCCCAAAACAGGGAGCAACCGCGACTCAAGCCGGATTGGCAGCCAGCAGCCTGTGCTCTGACCAAGCACAGAGAAAAAGGCAAAGGCACGGGTGAAACATGACAGGCCCCGCACTACATGGAAGGCACGAAGTCATCCGATTCATCATGAAGAACCAATCGCAGAAATCCGAAAATGGATCCGCACAAACTACCACTCCCAAATTGGAAGCAAGGCATAAGCTCGCTCTACACCCATCTGAAACAAGTCTGAGACACAGTGTTACAACACGATCTGAGTAGACCGGGGTCAGCTGTTCGGATGTTCATGCGCCCTTATGTTGGGGCCGAGTGTGCTCAGCATATTCATGTCAACGTGCTTCCAGGCTGCTTCCAAATAAGTAGGGCGAGTCCCAAGAGGCCACAGACTCTGAAGAGAGGGTTCGTCCTAGAAACACATTGGCGCCATTTGTTCGGGTCAGGTGTGCGGCAAAAAGGACAATTTTGGCGTGCCTGGAACGCCGGGCTGTTCACATGGAGCCGTGCACGTGGCCTTCACAAACTTGCTTTGTAAGCTTGCTTGGATTCGTTAGTTTCTCCACCTATTTTCCCATTCGCAACCAATTGCAACTGGTGACTTTGTGGAAAGGGCCGCGCACGTTGTCAATTGGATGCGTGTGGATGGCAAGTTGGGTGGATTCGCCGCAGGTGTGTGGAGACGGGGCCGGCGCTGCGCTTTTGCGGGGGGCTCGGTGTGGACAAGCCTCGATCACTTGGTGGACACAGTGTTACCACGATCTGCGTAGACCGGGGTCAGCTGTTCGGATGTTCATGCGCCCTTTTGTTTGGGCCGAGTGTGCTCAGCATATTCATGTCAACGTGCTTCCAGGCTGCTTCCAAATAAGTAGGGCGAACCCCGAGGCCACAGCTTCTGAAGAGAGGGTTCGTCCTAGAAACACATTGGCACCATTTGTTCGGGTCAGGTGTGCGGCAAAAAGGACAATTTTGGCGCACCGGGAACGCCGGGCTGTTCACATGCAGCCGTGCACGTGGCCTTCACAAACTTGCTTCGTATGCTTGCTTGGATTCGTTAGTTTCTCCACCTATTTTCCCATTCGCAACCAATTGCAACTGGTGACTTTGTGGAATGGGCCGCGCACGTTGTCAATTGGATGCGTGTGGATGGCAAGTTGGGTGGATTCGCCGCAAGTGTGTGGAGACGGGGCCGGCGCTGCGCTTTTGCGGGGGGCTCGGTGTGGACAAGCCTCGGTCACTTGGTGGGCGAAACAAGTCTGAGACACAGTGTTACAACACGATCTGAGTAGACCGGGGTCAGCTGTTCGGATGTTCATGCGCCCTTATGTTGGGGCCGAGTGTGCTCAGCATATTCATGTCAACGTGCTTCCAGGCTGCTTCCAAATAAGTAGGGCGAGTGGGTTCGTCCTAGAAACACATTGGCACCGTTTGTTCGCGTCAGGTGTGCGGCAAAAAGGACAATTATGGCGTACCTGGAGCACCGGGAGCCGCGCACGTGGCGGTTGCCGCATGTCATGAGCGTCCACCTCCACCGCGCCATCGCTTGCCGGCATGTCACGAGCGTCCACCACGCCAGTCTCGCTCGCGAGCGGTTTCCGCATGTCACAAGCGTCCACCGCGCCAGTCTCGCTCGCGGGCGGTTTCCGCATGTCACGAGCGTCCACCGCGCCAGTCTCGCTCGCGGGCGGTTTCCGCATGTCACGAGCGTCCACCGCGCCAGTCTCGCTCGCGGGCAGTTTCCGCGTGTCACAAGCGTCCACCGCGCCAGTCTCGCTCGCGGGCGGTTTCCGCCTGTCACGAGCGTCCACCGCGCCAGTCTCGCTCGCGGGCGGTTTCCGCATGTCACGAGCGTCCACCGCGCCAGTCTCGCTCGCGTGCGGTTTCCGCATGTCACGAGCCTCCACCGCGCCAGTCTTGCTCGCGGGCGGTTTCCGCATGTCACGAGCGTCCACCGCGCCAGTCTCGCTCGCGGGCGGTTTCCGCATGTCACGAGCGTCCACCGCGCCAGTCTCGCTCGCGGGCGGTTTCCGCATGTCACGAGCGTCCACCGCGCCAGTCTCGCTCGCGGGCGGTTTCCGCATGTCACGAGCGTCCACCGCGCCAGTCTCGCTCGCGGGCGGTTTCCGCATGTCACGAGCGTCCACCGCGCCAGTCTCGCTCGCGGGCGGTTTCTGTCACCGCGCCAGTCTCGCTCGCGGGCGGTTTCCGCATGTCACGAGCGTCCACCGCGCCAGTCTCGCTGTCATGTCGTCAACGGGCGGTTTCCGCATGTCACGAGCGTCCACCGCGCCAGTCTCGCTCGCGGGCGGTTTCCGCATGTCACGAGCGTCCACCGCGCCAGTCTCGCTCGCAGGGGCGTGTCCGCATGTCACGAGCGCCACTGCGCCAGTCTCGCTCGCGGGCGGTTTCCGCATGTCACGAGCGTCCACCGCGCCAGTCTCGCTCGCGGGCGGTTTCCGCATGTCACGAGCGCCCACCGCGCCAGTCTCGCTCGCGGGCGGTTTCCGCATGTCACGAGCGTCCACCGCGCCAGTCTCGCTCACGGGCGGTTTCCGCATGTCACGAGCGTCCACCGCGCCAGTCTCGCTCGCGGGCGGTTTCCGCATGTCACGAGCGTCCACCACGCCAGTCTCGCTCGCGGGCGGTTTTCGCATGTCACGAGCACCGCGCCAGTCTCGCTCGCGGGCGGTTTCCGAATGTCACGAGCGTCCACCGCGCCGGTTTGCGCATGTCACGAGCGTCCACCGCGCCAGTCTCGCTTGCGGGCGGTTTCCTCATGTCACGAGCGCAGTCTCGCTCGCGGGCGTTTTCCGCATGTCACGAGCGTCCACCGCGCCGGTCTTGCTCGCGGGCGGTTTCCACGTGTCACGAGCATCCACCGCGCCAGTCTCGCTCGCGGGCGGTTTCCCCATGTCACGAGCGTCCACCGCGCCAGTCTCGCTCGCGGGCGGTTTCCGCCTGTCACGAGCGTCCACCGCGCCAGTCTCGCTCGCGGGCGGTTTCCGCATGTCACGAGCGTCCGTCTCGCTCGCTGGCGGTTTCCGCATGTCACGAGCGTCCACCGCGCCAGTCTCGTTCGCGGGCGGTTTCCGCCTGTCACGAGCGTCCACCGCGCCAGTCTCGCTCGCGGGCGGTTTCCGCGTGTCACGAGCGTCCACCGCGCCAGTCTCGCTCACGGGCGGTTTCCGCTCACGAGCGTCCACCACGCCAGTCTCGCTCGCGGGCGGTTTCGGCATGTCACGAGCGTCCACCGCGCCAGTCTCGCTCGCGGGCGGTTTCCGCCTGTCACGAGCGTCCACCGCGCCAGTCTCGCTCGCGGGCGGTTTCCGCATGTCACGAGCGTCCACCGCGCCAGTATCGCATGTCACGAGCGTCCACCGCGTCCAGTCTCGCTCGCGGGCGGTTCCGCATGTCACGAGGGTCCACCGCGCCAGTCTCGCTCGCGGGCGGTTTCTCCATGTCACGAGCGTCCACCACGCCAGTCTCGCTCGCGGGCGGTTTCCGCATGTCACGAGCGTCCACCGCGCCAGTCTCGCTCGCGGGCGGTTTCCGCATGTTCCACCGTCCGCATGTCACGAGGGTCCACCGCGCCAGTCTCGCTCGCGGGCGGTTTCTCCATGTCACGAGCGTCCACCACGCCAGTCTCGCTCGCGGGCGGTTTCCGCAGGTCACGAGCGTCCACCGCGCCAGTCTCGCTCGCGGGCGGTTTCCGCATGTTCCACCGCGCCAGTCTCGCTCGCGGGCGGTTTCCGCATGTCACGAGCGTCCACCGCGCCAGTCTCGCTCGCGGGCGGTTTCCGCATGTCACCATTTTTCGCTCGCGGGCGGTTTCCGCATGTCACGAGCGCGCCAGTCTCTCTCGCTCGCGGGCCAGCCTCGCGCACCCAGTCTGCACCACACCGCCGTCCCACCAGCCAGCCCCACACCGCCGTCCCCCCAGCCAGCCTCGTACGCCCCGTCTGCACCCCCAGCCGGCATCGCACGCCCGGTCTGCAGCACAACGAAATGGAAATCCCTTCTTATCTCCGTCGTCACAGCTTGTATCGCTCCCAGGCACCTTAAGAGAAAACCTAAAGCAGAACCCAAGCATCAGAGATGCTTTTGGGAAAAAATTAGGACTCTGTTCGGATGTTCGTGCGCCCTTTTGTTTGGTCGAGTGTGCTCAGCATATTCATGTCAACGTGCTTCCAGGCTGCTTCCAAATAAGTACCTAGACAGCCAAGAGTGCTATCTGATAAGCCTTCCTATGACAAAAAATGCAAAGGCTTATCTCGTAGGCCTTCGTGGACGTATGGCATGCTTCGGCCAGCGCGATGCCCATCCCGACAATTAAGGCGCCAGCAAACGCACGGCAACGAATCTCTGCTTCTGGATTTTTCTTGTGGCTGTTGTTTGCGTTTCTTTTTTCATT